GTTGTTTTTGAATTAAACGGCCAGAAGAATGAAAACAGTGGTTTTCCGTCGGTCTACTCAAGAACCTTCTCTGCGGGTCCCCAGCTGGAGCCCAGACTGAATTCGGACTGGTAGTCTTACAGCAGGTGATCACGAGGGTCCTCAAAAACTCACCCACCCCGGCCTTGGGGACGAGGGAGACGAGCCCCAAGGGTGCAGGCAGGGCGCGGAAGGACAGGGGCCTACAGGAAATCTCCCAGCTCCTGCCAGCGAGCTCCTGGCTGTGAACTCGAGCTGAGCAGGGGAGGGGAGTGCGGCGGGCGGCAGAGGGCAGGCCACCGCCCAGGACCGCCTTGCGGGATAAGCGGTCTGGGCCGGCGAGGATCCTGGTCCCCATACCGCAGGAAGGCCGGGGCCAGGATGCGCGAGAGGTAGCTCAGAGAGACCAAGGATCATCGCAACCCAGGCTAGGCGTTGGAAAGGCCGCCAGGAGGGGAAGTTAAAGTAGGGCCCTAGTCCCTCCTCTTTCCCACCCAAATGAGAGTGAGCAGTAGGGTGCCGGACTGCCCAAGTGCTGCCCCTCTTCCGAGAACCGCCCCTCCTCCACCGCCACAATTCTAGGCCTTCTACTCCCCTTCCTGCCAATTCCCACTGCTTAAAACAACCCAAGAAGCCTCTGAAGCCGGCTGCCTCTGGGCTCTGGTGGCTTTCCCTGAGCCCAAGGCGCTGACTGCATGTTATGTGGGCCGAGTTTCTAGGTAGGTGCCTGCGGGGAACTTGAAGCCCCGAATCTGGGAGGAGCAGAGTTCCCTCTTGGGGCTCCAGAGCCCAAGGTGGCCGGTCTTGCAGGTTGGGCCAAATCCCTGGGTTTGGACAAGAATGTGGGGCCGGATTCCGGCCCCCACCCCTTGTACACACACAACCTCCACGCACTTCACTGGACATCCTCAGGACCAAACCGTCCCAGATGCAGATAAATGGGTTCAACCCCAGAGGTGTGTGAGGGGAGGAGGAGGCGGCAGGTAGGGGCTGTCAAGTCCAGCGCCAGCTTTCCCCGCGCCCCTTTGGAAGAGAAAGGCAGCCCAGCGGGTGGCAGCTGTCAGGCGCGCTCCGGAGCTGTGGGGGGGGGGGTGGTCAAAGGCCAGGAGCGTTCACCCCCAACGGTGCTGGTCCTTGAGCAGCGCCTCTCCCTCCAGTCTTCACTCCAACCTACCCACGTCTGCTCCCTGAGCTCGGGAAAGAGGCGCTGCCAAAGGAAAGGAGAAGTGCGGCCTGCCAAAGGAGGAGGAGAAAATTAATTAATGAGGGAAAGAAATGTGTCTCTGATCCAGATGATAGACTCCCTGTCCCTGGGGGCGGAAATTCCTTGGAAATCAATAGCTGTGCATTCATTATCCCCCTCTTGATAAAATGCAAAGCTATGAGATCGGGGGAAGAGGGAATCTGTGTTGGTCATGAAACAGGAAGGAAAAAAAAAAAAAAGCTGCCCAGGAACCTATTCCTAGGCTCAGATCCCATGTGGCCATCACTAGCTCAGGCCAGGGCCAGCTTGTTACTGCAACAAAGCCGTGACATATTGGTGGACGGAGCCCCAGTTCACCACTCTTTCCTTTCACTGCCCTGGTGTGAGTAGGGGAAGACTTGAAATGGTCCAAAGCCCTACCTGCAGATTCACCACTGCGTCCCACTCTCTTGCCTGGGGCTGGGGCCGAGGCCCAGCAGAAATGTGGCAGAATAATTCTGCAAGCATCATTCTCCACCCTACCCCATATTCCTGTACATCTCCCTCTCATAGCACCTATCACACCTGTACAACAAAACACCCCTTCACCTGGAGCTACCCCACTCTTATAGACTGCCACCACCTGGAGAGCAGATAGCCATATTTTATACTTCATTTTATTTCTCGTGTCTTGTCCTGGCCCAGATTGGTGCTCAGCAAGCATTTGAGAAAGAACAGTAGGGTAGAAAGTAAATGAGGAAGGAATGAAATAATAACTTTAGGAAAAGAACAGGCTGGAATCAAGATATGCAGCTCTGTGAGGGGACAACACGCCCCTCTTCCTATCTGCACTTCCTTTTTAGGGAGAGAGGAGTGACCTTTAGTGATCTTCCAGATTGCTCCCCCCACTCCCACCCCTCATTGGCCCAGGCTTGCTGAAATCTCTGGCTCCTGGCCCTCTCCAGTTGTCTTCTCTCCCTTTCTGCACACTATTGTTCAATGGGGCATTTTCACTCTGTGACCAGCACCTTTCCTAAGCACCATGGTGGACTCAGGTGTGCCCTAATAGGGCTTTCAATCTATTAATTGGGGAGGGGGTGAGTTGGGACTTGTACCCAGGGCCCTATTTCTAACCCCCAGGAAAAACGAAGTATTCTGAGCAAAGGTCTGGCCCCATCCCCAAGGTGGGCAGGGACTCCGGTTGTTCAAAAAGAAGCGAACTAGGAGGGGAGTCTCGACAAGATGGTGAACTCTTGACCTCAGGCTGGAGACCTCCCAGCTCGATGTCGGAGGGTAAACCGAGATGAACTTTGGGTTCTCAGGGGCTCGCCTCGCTCTTTCGGGATCCACGTGGCCCCAAACCTGTGCTATTTGCATTTCTGTTTGCCCTGGATCCTTCAGGACAAGGAAAAGCCAGCGTTTCCTTGGGTGAGGGTAGGGGAGGCGGAGAGGCAGAATCCAGGCGCCAGTCCTCTGCCGGGACCTCCCCCTGCCCCCCCCCCCGCCACGCCAGCAGGAGAGCTCAGCGAACCGCCGCGATGGGTGTCAGGAAGGATTAAGTTAAGCCTGGACACCCGGTGCGCCGACTACCGTAGGACTCACTCGCTCCCTCCAGCGATGTCCTGCTCATCGTCCATTCCCCGTAGAGATAAAGTTGCATTTAGCACTCCCAGGGGACCGCGTAATGGATGGAAACGAGGCTTCTTCCCACACTAGCAAGTGAACATCCTTCTTACTCCCCTCCCTGGCTGCAGCCGGCGGGTGGAAAGGGGCAGGGGGAAGGTAGAGAGAAAAGAAAAGAAAGAAAAAACCGTGGTGACGCCTGTGGAGCTTTTCTTGGAATTTGAGTCATGGGTGGGTATGCTAAATACGCACACGTCTATCCAAAGAAAAGATCCCCGTGAACGCAAATTTAGGTTTATAGAAATGCGATCTAATCTTTGGTGGAAATATACACCTCCTTGGTGTGGGGGAGACCGGAAAGGTTATTTATCTGATCTCTGCCTCCCATAAGCAGCCCCTTGCCGCTCTCGCCAGCTCTCTCGCCGCAGATGTGATAACATCTGGACTGTTATTATCACCCCGGGCAAGCGCTGCGTCCCTGGGGACTCGGGCACCTGACCTGTGGTTCCCCCGGGAGGCCCTTGATCTGCCTGCCACATAAGGGCCATATAACAGGTTGGCTAATTGATTTATTCTTCTTAGGTTTTGATTTCACAATAATAAAATAAAGGCTGATCCAGAGCTTGGGCCCCGTTCTTCTAAATTGGTTTGAATTAATATTTTAATCATACTTTCCTATAAACTGGCTTGACTCTGATTCCTTTTGAAGGCGTGTGTGTGTGTGTGTGTGTGTGTGTGTGTGTGTGTGTGTGTATGGAGAGAGAGAGAGCAGTGGGCGGGGGGTTGGTGATGCAAACAAACCAAACCGATGGAAGGCAAAATAAAGTTCTCTTCAACATCTTATTCCATTTTCCCGTTTTTCTGAAACTATTTTCTTTTCCTGGAGTTTTCAGCATAAAGTGTGTGTGTGTGTGTGTGTGTGTGTGTGTGTTTGTGTGTGTATGGCGCGCGCGCTGAAGAGAGGTAAGGATCCCAACTACACCCTGTTAACTATTTTTCCTTTTGATTATAAGAAGCCTCAGATCACCCGGAGCTCGTTTGAAATGTGGGTTTGTACACGGTTAAAGGAGACAAACAATAAGAGAAATGCACAATTTCAACAGCCGTTCCCTAGTAGAAAGCACACGCTCCTTGTGGTTCCTAAGTGGCTGTCACTGTCGGTGCCTGACACAGTTATATGCACAACAACAACAACAACAACAAAGTATGTGGAGGAAATTAAATTATATGGAAATCAATAGCATCTGACTGCTTCAAACAAATGTCTGTCACTGCGATTATTCTCCAGGAACCTATTTATAAACCATGAAAGAAACAGGTTCTTGCAGCAAAAGCACCTTCTGCATTTCTGTGTTATTTATACTGTATACAGAGGAATGCGCGGGCATAATTTAACATACAAATGCCCAACTGTATACATTATATAACAGCTTGTTAGACGTCCCGGAGAGGAGGTGTGCCTAAGTAATGCGCATATATTCAGGGCTTGCTCTCGGGGTAGGGGTGGTGGAGGAGGGAGGGAAACCACCCAGGGGCTAGCGAACACCTCTTGTCTTTCTCCCCCTAAAAGGTGCCTACCCTCAGACAATAGCTGTCTCTTTTGATCTATCCAGACCCGCGGTGGGAAAGGTGAGGCGTGCAGTGCGCATGTCCGGGTAGCTACAGGTGCATCACCTGCGCTGTCCTTGCTGGTGGTCACTATAAGAGCGGCTCCCACGCGCGGGTCGCAGCCGGGCGAGCG